TGCTGGTCGAGCCTCACAGGACAGAAGCTTACTAAGGACTTTTTATTCCTGGGGCAACTGCTGAGGGGGCCCCTGGGCCCTGTTTCTGCCCTTGACCGAAACCATAAGTTAACGCCTCTCATTTGGGTGAAGGAATCTTTGGGGGCATCAGTTCCACTGTTGGTTGCTAGAAAAAGTCATAAAGCTTTTGGCTGTATACTAAATAAATTGCAAGCACTTGTTCTCATAGTCACAAAGGTCTCTAGATGTTATTCTTGTAAAAATGTTCCGTTTAGAGGCAGAACTAAGACACAGGTTTCTGTGAGCCTTGCTTGGTTAAACCAGACTTTATTTTCCCAAGGCCGCATTACTGTGAGAGAAACCTGTGTATTCTGAGAAGCCAGGAAGTTTCAGAGAGTTCCTTTAGCGGTAGTGCCGTTAAGCCCCTGGAGTGATGTGCGCCTGTGCGCCTGCCTTGATTGGCGTTTTGTTGAATTGCGCGTCTGTTTCAGATAGTTCCTCAGCACTCGGGTTAGCGCTGGCCTTGGGTGTGAGCAGTGGGGTGGTTGTGGCCGCCTGTTCCGAAGAGTGGCTGTTCAGGAGCTGGTGACGTTCCCCGGCCGTGGCGGTGCTGATAGGAAAGGAATCCGAGTCTCTCTGGGGAGTTTCAGGTCGAGCTGAGCTGCCTGCGCCTTCTGGGTCACCAGATGCCGGTACCCATTCCCGGTTCATTCTGCTGCGAAAGCGCGGACTCGGAGGGAGTGGCAGCTAGGAAACTGGTCGGGAATGCCGATGTCGGGGAGGAACAGACCACTAAGGTGCTTAACAGGGAGTTCACACTAACAGCCTCTCGCTGATTTTTATCTTTGGAATGTGGAAGCTTCATGAAGGCAGATACCAAAGTTTGTATGAGTCGGGGTTCTCCAGAGCGACAGAACCGCTAGGGTAGTTCTTTATCAATCGGTCATTGTCATCCACCTATCTAGACATTTGTTTTTAAGGAATGGGCTTGTGTAATTGTGGGGATGGCAGGTCTGAAATCTGCAGGGCAGGCCAGGAAGCAGGTAGGATTTCTGTGTTGTGTCTTAGAGCAGCAAATTCTTTGTGCACCTCATGGAGTCCAGCCCATGGTAGGCGCCAGGAAATGTGTGGAATGAAGGAACACCCCTGGGGGGCAACTGTTAGGGGGGTGATAGGGGCATGGCTCTGGGGTCAGACTGCCTGGGTTGACCCTGAGCTCTTGTCACTTCCTAGCTGTGAGATTTCAGGCTAGGTTGCTTACTACTTCTGGGCCTCAACTTCCTGATCTTTAAAATGACAATAATGTTATCTACCTGACAGGAGTTTTGTGAAGACTAAATTTGCTTAACGTACTTAGAACCTCACCTGGCACACACAATAAGCATTCCATAAATGTTAATGACTTATTAATATTTTCTGAACCCACACTGACAGTGTCCCATTGTGGTGGGGGAGTATACCCACGATTATTTGATTTTCCTCTAAGGGTTTTAGCCATGAAAGAAGAAAAGGGTGTATTTACTGGAAAGACAAGGATAGAATAATTATTTTTAAACATATTATTTTCCTAAAAGAAGCCAAAAGAATCAGCAAAAAAGACTTTTAGAATCAGTAATAGCAACGAGATGGCTGTATGTAAAAGAAAGACATAAAAGTCAAATTTTCCCCAATATGTCAGGATTAGCCAATTAGAAAATATACTGGTGGAGGGAAGCTATCAAATTTAAAGGGACTTTGTGATGAATGTCCTCTGTTTTTTATATATATATATATATATCAATATGTGAAAATAATACCACAGGACCAAATAAGATTTTTCTTAAGAATTCAAGAATTACACATATACGTATATGTAATATGTAATGTATGTATAATATGTAATATAAAAATAAATATGTCGGACTTTATGCAGTTTTTCTGGAATTCTTAAGATAAATCTTATTTGGTCCTATGGTATTATTTTCACATATTACATAATTTGGTTTGTCAAGATTTTCTTAAATTTTTTTTTTTTTTTTTTGAGACAGAGTCTCACTCTTTTGCCCGGGCTAGAGTGCCGTGGTGTCATCCTAGCTCACAGTAACCTCAAACTCCTGGGCTCAAGTGATTCTCCTGCCTCTGCCTCCCGAGTAGCTGGGACTACAGGCATGTGCCACCATGCCCGGCTAATTTTTTCTATGTATTTTTAGTTGTCCGATTAATTTCTTTCCATTTTTAGTAGAGACGGGGTCTCGCTCTTGCTCAGGCTGGTCTCAAAATCCTGAGCTCAAACAATCTGCCCGCCTCGGCCTCGCAGAGTGCTAGGATTACAGGCATGAGCCACCGCGCCCGGCCTAAGATTTTCTTAAATTTTTGCACCTTAGATTTTATGTATCTTTTTGGTCAGGTTTTAGTATTAAGGTTATACCAGTTACCTAGGAAAACAGGGACTCTTTTATCCTTTGTGAACCCTGTAGAAAGTTCTATAGTGAGCGCCTTGTGCAGCAAAGGGCAGGATGGCGCAGGTGACCGTGGAGTCAGATGCTGTGCTTTCAGGCCCGGGTCTGTTTCCACCAGCCATGTACGCACGTCACATCATATCTACAAGCTTTACTTTCCTCATCTGCAAAATGGGCATAGCAGTAGTACCCACACCAGAGGCAGGTGAAAGCCAGGGTGGAGAGGGGTGAAAGAGGACAGGCACCCTTCTGTGGACCTGGCTGAACCTGGCCACACTTTCCACCCCTGTGGCCAACCCCCTCTTCGTCCCTGAACCCCTGGGATCTGGGGCTGGGTCCCCCCACCCCCAGCCTGCTTCCATGGTTCTTGGCTCCCAATTCCACACAGGTTTCCTTAATTATAGGCTTTCATGTATAGGAGCAGGCAAGGGAGGAGGTACAATATTGAAACAGAGAAATTATAAGTGATAAAACTACAAAAAGTAGGCCTTGTTTGTTTTATGCTTTCTTAAATTCCATTAGGGTTTAACTTAACCAAAGCAATTACCTGGTTTGTCAGCACGGAAGCCCAGAAAAGGTGACCCCTCCAGAGTGGTGGGCTTGCTGTGGCTTCCTCGGGAAGATCATCCTAGTTTTTTTTCATTTAGGGGCCTGGAATTCCAGAGTGACTGCCATATATGCTCACTGCGGGACCAGAGAATTCTGTGGGAAAACAAGTACTTACTCAAAGCGCAACTTTGCAGTTGTCAGAGATACAAGTAGGGGCTATCAATGAATACTTTCTGAAATTCTCCAGAACTCGGGTGTTCTGAAATATCTTCCCTGGCCATCCCATGCTTTCTTTCCCGCTGGGCATCTATGGCACGTACTTTGCTGTTTATTTGACATTTACCATTGACTTATAACTGCTGATAATGTGAATTACAGAACATCCTTGCGGTTGGAAGACTAAGATTTAAGTTTCTCATAGAGTCTGGCTACCATCAGGGGTTCACTGGTCTTCTGCTCCCAGCTGCACCCCCGTCCCCCAGAACACCTTTCTTGGCAGGTCAAACAAAAGGCTGTCTATAATTCAATGGAATGTACTTAATTGAAACTTTCTCCCTAGTGTGGCCACTAGAGTTGAAGGAGTGTTAATGTCAGGATTTTTGAGAATGAAAGATTTTTTGGTGAAGAATAAGTTTTGCAGAAATCTTCGTTTATAAGGAATCTTCAGCTTGTCTGCTGTAGGCACTGTGTGTTTGTGGCAAGTTCCTTGAGAGGAGTGCCTTGCACATAGAAAATTTAAAACAAATGGACAGACAAGGCAAATTGGAGGGGCTCACTGCAGTTCGAAGGGTGCTGAATGCAGATTCTCTACCTGCAAGCAGCTGCTCGGCTGGAGGACACTATATACTTTTCCAGGACTATGCAACTGGTTTTCCTTTTTTCTTTAAAAGAATCAATAAACTGTGGTTTAAACCATACTTCCTTCCCCTTATCTGGTCTCAAGAATAAAAAATATGATCGATGCAGTCATTACTGTGGATTCATAATCACAATATTAATAGTGTGCCAGGGTGAGAGCTTGTGTTCCTTTCTCTCCAGCACAACCACAAAACCAGGTGGCAGAAAAGCACTGCTAGGTTCTGTTATAAATTCAGCTGCAGTGGGAAGGGGTGAGGAGGGGGAAGAGAATCCAGCCACTGAGTGGCCCACCAGGCCACCTGCTGCCCTGTCGTTGGCTGGCCCTGCCTTACCCCTGTCGGCTGGCTTCCCTTTCTCTCCTAACTTCAAAGCCTTTGTTCCCCCTAACTCCCCAAGGTAACTAGGACTCATGTTTGCTCTCATTTATCTTCTTCCGTCCACTGCTTTGTGCTCTAGTTCTCTGCATAAAGCAGGATGAGCTGTAGTAGGAGTGGAACTGGGGAGGTCCATCCTTTTTCTTCCTCGTGAGAAATGAAGTGAGAAAAAAGCAGAGGTGAGACAGGGTGTGATGTGAATTGGTGTTCTTCATAATCAGCCTATGATTCCTGATAAACAGTAGTCTATAAGCCTCCTTTTGTAAGTTCTCATCTTCGTGTAAGAGTACAGGAGAAAAACCATAACAGTCTTGAATTGATATACAGCAAAGTGGCTCTGGTTACCCCATGATGTGTTCCCTTTTCCTATCTCCCCTCCCCTCAAAAAAAAAAAAAAAAAAACGGTAAAAATAGCCACGGGAATGAACAAGCAGATTTGTGTTGCTGCATTCCAGGGGTTTCACTTCATGGACACAGATTTTAAAATTTCCCCAACATGGTTAAGCATGACTCTGTGCACACTCTGGATGGAATGAGTTGATGAGCTTGGCAATAAAACGCATGTGCCAATCTAACAAGTTCAAACTTTATTTTATTTTCATTAAAGGCCTGTGATGTCAACACTGTCAGAGGATAGATTCTTGTTCAGTTTAGGGCCCTGCTCATTTGGAGTCTCTCTCAGATGTTTTGGAAAGAACCCTCCAGTTGACTGGTAGCCTGGGAGGTGTCCTTTGTCTTCTGACTCCTCTGATATGCATGTTTTGTCTCCTGTCTCTGTTAGGCGGGGCAAGAAGCACAGCATCATCCTACGGACGCAGCTGTCAGTGAGGGTCCATGCCTGCATCGGTGAGTGACACCTGCCCTCCGGGATTAAACCCGTGATGAGAAACGCCACTTGTGGGGATACAGTATTCACCGTTACGCTGTCTACTTGGGCTAGCCCCTCTCGTGGGCTCTTAGAGTTCTAGCGAAGCAATGTTTAGTAGTACTTTTTGAAGCCCTGTTTCATTCTAACTTCCTTTGCTCTTTGGTTAGTGGCTGGAGCATGAGATAAGACGATCGTTGGTGAGGTTCTTCTTAATGGTGCTGGAAGAGATGAGGTTCTTCCTGGGATGGTGCTAGTGTGAGCCTCTAGGCCCTGGAAGTGAGCCTCCACTGTGCCTGCTGGTGGCTCTGTGATGTTTGCTTGTGGGGAAGTGGTGTCTGAGGCTCCAGGTTACTGTTGGGTGGTTAAAAGGGAAATCTTGGGTCAGTGCAAGCAGGGAGCACACGTGGATACAGAGCACAATGGTGATAAGCAGATATATTTGTGGTTCAGAACAGCTTGCTGTAGGCTTTCAGGGGTGCTGCTGGGGCTGTTGCTGCAGCCATTAGTTTTCCTGGACCCATTGGTTTCCCCACCTATAGACATGGAATCAATGGCAGTGAAGCCAGTTGTTTATGCTAAGTAGGCAACCTCTGTGTGAATGGTCCCTGAAACTGTGGCCTGGTTTGCTCCTGGTATTGGGCCAAGTTGAGGCAAGAATGTAATATCATAAAAAGAGAAACAAAAGAAACTAAAATTCACTTTATGCATAGAAGTTTTTCATATCTGAGTAGTTTTGCTTTTATTTCATATACGTTAGGGTCTTCACTGAGGCCTCTGCTTAGGAGAACATAAAGCATCCTGTTGAGTCCCTGTCTGCACCTGGTATCCATGGGTAGAGTGGAAGGGATTGTTTCTGGTCCCTCCTTCTCTCTGCTTCTCTGTTGGAGACCCTGGGATGGGCAGGGGAGCTGGACATGGAAGGGAATCCATGTAATTTTACCTCACCTGGTGTGACGTGTGGTGAGGTGCAGGTATCTCGAGTAACTACCTTTGTTTCACTCTGTAGCCAGAGAGTGATTGTGCAGGTGACTCATAAGCCTCAGGGCCTGAAAGATCAGGGTGTCAGGAAGGTTTGCAAGTTTGCTGGAAACAAAGTAAGATCTGTAGGACCTTCAGCCAACACTGACTGTTCACTTCTCAACTGCCAGTAGCACTGAGTGACTGTAAAACGTACATGGGCCCTTGATTATATTTAACCAGTTGCTTTTTTATTACCCGCTTCATATTTTTCCAGTTACTTTCATATGTATAAATTCTGTCTACCTAAAGAAAAGGCCTATGACCATGACTTTGGATAAGCTTCCCCCACCCTCATCCCAGATCTAGAACAAATCCAGGCATGTAATGTGCTATTGAATACCGTTGAAATTAAATATTGAAATATATGCTGATAGCCATGAGAGATTTGGGACATGAATATGAATTTTATTTCCTAGAAATAGAAAGGCTGTAGAAAGCAGACTTACACTAAAATGGGCTAGATCAAAATCCAAATGAGCTAACTCCTTTTAAGAAAATCTACTCTTTCGCACTATGTACTTAAATATTTCAAGTACAGGAGTTTTTCTAAACAGCTTCCATGTGGTTGACTGGTTGCGTTAACTTCCGTATCCTATAGTCTCATGTAATCGATGTAAAACACAGGTCTCCTCCCGTGGCATGCTGAGCACGACAGGCACCAGAGCCCACTCTCGACATATGTGCTTTCCTTCTCCAGGGCCAGCCTGGGTGCTTACATGGTCAGTGTTTGCTCCCGAACATCTTTATGCCAATTGCACTGGTTATTGGAATTACATAATGAAATGGTACCTAAATATTTTAGAAGCTGATTAAATATGAGCATATAAAAGGGCATGGTGTCTTTGAAAATTCATTGAATGTTTTGGAAAAGACTCAAAATTAGTTACCACAAAAGCATTTCTGTCAATGAAGGTGGGTTATAACAACTATGAAAAGTCGGGGGGAAGATTGTAAAAATCTAGGAGGATCCTACTCTTTGCTGTTATCTCCTGTTCTTGCTTGATTTCAAAGAAACTGACATTGGAAATCAGATTTCGTTACTGGAGTGGTTAGTGAAAGGAGGTCTATATGGAATTCCAGTTAGTAGGCTGTTTCTCAAAGAACCATTTGTGCCTTGTCACAGGTAGACCGTCATGTTTGGTCAGCATAGCTGTGAGTTACAATAAAGTTTTAAGGTGTGTATGTGTCATTTTTAAAGGATACTCTGCTTTAACCAGTTGTTTACTATTAATTGTCTCAGGCCTGAGTATGTCGGATGAGAGGGTTTGGCCATATAAATTATTATCAGCACCCAGGAAGGAAAAGTTTTCCCTTTGTCTTAAAAGCCCTCTTTCTCATTCCATTTTCTACTATTGGCAAGATCTAGAATAGATTTATTGTAATAGCGCTACATAGTATCTTTTGGCTATGTATAGAAGATGGAATGTGTGCATCATGTTTATAAAGCACCTCCCCCTGTTGTGACATATTCTTTCGCTCCCCAAATGGCAATATTAGTTGCCATTGGGATGAAAAAAGACAAAACCTGGAACAATCTCCAGTTGAAATGACAATGGGAAACATCAGTTGTTTGAGCCCTTGTTTCTTTTCAAGATTATTTCCGCTGTTTACCATATAAGAAATAGTTATTCAGGCATCAGACCCGACGGCTGCTGTCTCAGCCTGGCACGACTCACCGCTCTCCTGAAGACCATCCTTCTCACCCACGATTGGGCTGGAAGGATCCGGGATCAGCTTTTGTCCGATGGGTCTAAAATACTATCTAGTAAATTTCTCCAAAATAATGTTTTCCTCACCCTACATTCTCTTCTCCTTCATTCCTGTTTTTATTAAGTATAGGAATGTTTAGAATCCAGGACTGTGTGTTGATGAATTGGAAGTGACGTGCCTTTGGAATTCTCCCGTGTTAACTTTGGAACCCTGCACCCGTTAGGAGGAGGAGAGAGCAGAGCGTTCATGGTTAGCAACCAGCAAACTTTAGGGAAGATGAAGGCCACAGGGGCTCTGCTTTGATGGTCACAGCTAGCGGCGGAGACGGGTCTTACAGTGCAGCGGTTCTGAAGCATTTGGCAGGAGGCTGGAGTGAGAGCTTGGTTCAGAGGCCCCACGCTTTTGTACCTCTGTGCTCCTCTGCACTGTCACTTTTCTTTGTAGATTTTTAGGGTGACCACTTGATGTAACATACTGCAGCAAACCGTGTATGACTTGCCTTCTTAATCTAGCTTCGATCCCTCAAAGAAATGAAAGTATTGATGGTCATATTGTGGGCATAAACTCACAGATATGGAAAAAAAAATCTATGATAGGCATGAGAAGTCTGCATTTTATGAGGTTAGCTAGAGAAAATAAATTTTTTGGTCCCTGCAAAGCGATCCTATTTCCAGACACCAGAAAAATGTTCAGAGGGCCAACTGGCTCTGATGACTAAATCTCATCATGAAGAGAAAAGGAACTGAAGAATTGTGGGGTAAGGAATGGAATCTAAGATTTAAAAAAATAAGGTTTGAAGACTTTAGGATGCTAAAGCTAATATGAGTGTTTTCTACTGGCTGACTTCGAAGGCATTTTGTTTGGCTTAAAACCTCTGCGCATCAGTTTTCTGAGACAGACCCTGTCTTCCCATTAAGAAAATAAACCCTGGTGATTGAGTCTCTGGGACCCAGGAGGCCTGTGCTTTCAAGTGTCCAGAGATGAGTTAAACAAAAGGGTAAAATTTGGCTGAAGATTCCAAAGTGTCTTTTATGCTTGTAGCTGCGGAAGAACAACCTGGCACAAAGGGTATTCAGAGGCATGTGCCCTACCCCTGAGGTGACGTGGCTGCCTGCGAGGGTAGAGATGAGGTGGGCGGAGGCTCGCAGGGTGGCTGATCTCCACATGAGATGTGTCTCATTGCCCAGACGATCAAGTCACAGAGACAAAGACAACTTTTAAAGATGAGAAACTGATAAGAGAGAAGGCTGCTCCGTCCATGTGTGCAGAAGGGTAGTTGGTCTCCAGCAGCGGAGACGTGGACACGACGACATGTCAATGTGTAATTTGCAAAGCGTCTTCCTTTCACGAGCTTAGTCATGCAGCCATGTGCTTTGTTGTTATAGCAAAGAGGTGAATCACAAGTAGTGGAACATTTCTTCAAGAAGAACCTTCCAGTGCAGGAGTGACCGAGAGGGGTTCATCTCGTGTGCCAGCTGATTGAGGGAGGTGGCTCCCTGGGCGCGGTGTTGAACAGGACCCTGAGGCTGTGCGCAGTCTTAACGGGAAAGATCCCGCGTTGGCGCCGGCTTCCACTGGTGGTGGTGGAGGTGGGTGTGTGGGTGCACGTGCCCTGTGGGGTGGCAGCTGAGGGGCTCAGGCGAGGTGCAGGTTCTGTCCAGTGTCTGAACCCGCTGCAGCTACAGTGTAGAGGGCCCTGGGCTTCTGTGGTCAAAGTGTGTGTGCAGTGGAGAGTGGAGCTGTAATCCGTGACCGCTGGCCCCTACCCCTCTGCCTTTGCTGCCAGTCCCTGCCTTTCTTCTTCGGCCTGGGGATGTGAGCATGGCTCCTCGGTCCTTTCCCACCTCACTGAGCTTTCTGCCCAGGCCAGGTACCGCTGTCCCCTCCCTCTTAGTGTCTTTCCTTCTCCTATCAGGCTGTGCTGGTTTCTTGTGGCTGAGCCCTCCTGGCCCGCAGGGAGGCTCTCCCTCCAGCTTCTTCTTCTGACATTTCATTCACCCTTCAGGTGGGCTGCAGAGGGACTCTGGGCTTGGGAGCATTAGTTGGGTTCCAGTGTGGTCCTTACTGCTTCCTGGCTCTGTCAGCTTGGAATCTCCATAAAGACTAGAGGTTTCTTTTGGGAAACAACAAATTGCCTTTTTTTTTTGAGACAGAGTCTCACTCTGTTGCTCGGGCTAGAGTGAGTGCTGTGGCATCAGCCTAGCTCACAGCAACCTCAAACTCCTGGGCTCAACAATCCTTCTGCCTC